GAAGATTTTACATATTTATAAAGGTAGAATAGTATAATGAACCCTATGTTCCCATCACCCCACTTCAATTATTTTTCATGGCCAATTTTGACTTAATCTGTACCCTCTTCCCTCTCCTCTACTGAATTATACTGAAGCAGATCCAGATACATTATTTCATCTGTAAATATTTTAGTATGTATCCCAAAGGATGTGTTCTTTTTTTTAAACTTAATTATATCTTTACCAAACGTAAAAGCAATGATAATTAACAGTGATTTTAAAAATTTTAATTGTATTAAAAGTCTTGAGGTTAGGTGAAGAATAAAGAGAATAATATATTTTGTTCTCTAGTTATCTCATTCTGTAACCTTTCATTTTTTTTTATCTGCATTAGGAGGCGAGCTCAAGATAGTATAGATTAGGGGTTGCGAACTATAGCCTGCAGGCCAAATACAGCCCTCCATTTATATTGCTAAGTATTATTGGAATACAGCACATCCATTCATTTATTTTTTTTATTTTTATTTTTTTTAAAGATTTTATTTATTTATTTGAGAGAGAGAGAATGAGAGAGAGCACGAGAGGGAAGAGGGTCAGAGGGAGAAGCAGACTCCCTGCTGAGCAGGGAGCCCGATGTGGGACTCGATCCCGGGACTCCAGGATCATGACCTGAGCCGAAGGCAGTTGCTTAACCAACTGAGCCACCCAGGCGCCCCATTCATTTATTTATTGTGTATGGCCACTTTCATGTTACAACTGCAGAATTGAATAGTTGTGACAGGAGACCAGGTGGTTGTAAACCTGAAATATTTACTTTCTGGTCCTTCACAGAAAAGTTTGCTGACCCCTAGTATAGAGGACTACTGCAGTTTTTTTTCAGTTGATTTAAGCTGTTATTTTTTTTTTTTTAAAGATTTTATTTATTTGAGAGAGAATGAGAGAGAGAGACAGAGCACATGAGAGGGGGGAGGGTCAGAGGGAGAAGCAGACTCCCCGCTGAGCAGGGAGCCCAATGTGGGACTCGATCCCGGGACTCCAGGATCATGACCTGAGCCGAAGGCAGTTGCTTAACCAACTGAGCCACCCAGGCGCCCAACTTAAGCTGTTATTAAACTAAATTGGTGTATATTATACCTTTCCTAATATGTGATATCAGATTACATTTTTTTCCTATTTCTTTTTCTTAGGGAAAACTCAGCTATTTTGGAAAGGTATCTCCGTGTATGACCTACTGAGTACAGTAGGATTACATTCTGTTTCCTCCTTAATGTATAGGTAAAGGCACTGAGGACTGTGAGATCTTAGGTGTGTTTTTATAGGTGAGCTAATTTTGGATCCTGCAGGGACTCAGTACTTTTTTTCCCCACTGATGAATTATAATAAGAAAGGTGTGGAGGATTGAATGAAAGACCAGTTTAAAAAAGTATGTCATTTACAAAAAAAGTTTTCAAATACAGTACAAATATATACTACAGTTGTCTACTGTTCAAGTACAGTA